ATGCATTACTTCATAGTATCAGCAGCAAGCTTCATTCCCAGTTACTAAGCATCACAAGATCCCTCTTTGGTTCTTCATAATTAGCTTTCACTTATGCTACCCTCATTAATTTAAAATCATTCTGCACTCTCTCTTCCAGATCACTAATGCATACGCTGACTGGTGTTAAACTTAGCACAGATCCATGAGCAACTCTACTGGTGACGTCCGTCCCTTCTGTGAAAACAGGTCATTTATTCATCTTTTGGCCAACTATCAGTCTAGGAGAAAAATTTCCTCCTATGTCAGAGCAGTTTCATTTTGCTCAGTACCTTTGGTGAGTAGTTCTCAGAAGACTCTGAAACCCAAGTGTACTGCATCAGCTAGATCACAGAGTTACTCACCACCTCAGCAGTGTCTTCAAAGAACTCTACCAGACCTGTGAGACTGTTCTGACTTTTTCCTGGTATATCAAATTGTCCATGAATGCTTTAGTTTTCTTTCTGTATTTACCAGAAAACTGGCTGGTATGAATGCCAGTCATACTCATCCTGTTCTTTCCCAGAGGCTTTCTTGGAAGCCTTTTTAAAAAAACCTGGCATCACCTCTGGCATCTTCAACTTCACTGTTACCACGAACATGAATATCCCACATGCTTTTAGCTACAGATGCAATCTTCTTTGAGTTCTTTTGGATCTTGGTTATCTATGGGACCAGTGGCCTTCCCACTTCTGGTATTTCTGAAAGAGTATTTATGACAATACAGCTTCTCTGCCTTAACTTGTTTTATTGCATAATTTATGTTTAATTTGCATGATTTTTCCCTTTTTTTTTATTTTTGGACATGTTTTTGGAGAATATTTTTCTGTTCCTTGCAGCCTGCTCAACCGTGCTAATTGTTCTTTAAAACTTTTTGAAGGGTCAAAGAACCAGTTTTTAGGGAATATGCACTTGTTCTGAGTCTCTCCACAACAGCTGCAAGCATTTTCCTCTGTTTCTCTTACCAGGTTCTCCACAAAATCCCTAATCAGCATCCTGCTAGCTACCTTCTCTATGGTAGACCTATACTGTCAATAACTCACAAAATTAAGCTTTCAGTCCCCTCACTTTATTTTCCAGTCTTCTAATATTTACATAAAAACTCTCCTGTTTCAGTCTGACTGCCTAGATTCTTCTGTGCTCCTGTCTAAACAGGACCTAATTTTTTGAGGCAGTTCTTCACTGTTTTCTACATGTCCTTCATTAACTTCTGTCCCATGTACTTCAACCCCAGAAAATGTGTCTTCTTGACCTGTGTGCCCTTTCTGCCTGTCCTCATGCAGGTTATTGGAATTGCACTTCAGACTGATGCTGCATAGGTCTTTATTCTTAACCTTCTATCTAGCAACTCAGATATTGCTTCCAGCACTTTGTCACCAGCACTGAAAGATAGTCTAGATTCCTTTTGCTGTAAGGCACCTTGGCATGTAGTTGGAAGGTGACTGTATGCTCCTTTCCAGCACCATAAATCCAGTTAGTTGCACCCCACTTAGCATCCCCACCACGGCAGGAGATGTCCCTCTACCATCTAGAATCAAAGAGCAAAAGGATACTTGGCCATCCCCTGAGAGCAAGGTTTCATCTACAGGATCTTATTTCAGGGTCATTTCTCCTTTACAGGTTTGATGTGGTCCGACATCAGAACCTACTTCTCATGGAAGGCCAGAGGGAGCCTCCCTAGAGACAGCAGTGGGAATACCTGCCTGGAGGTTTACTTTACACATTTGTTAATTAAGGATGATTTCCTTACACTTACACTTCACATGTGACTTTCACAAGAGTTCAGTTGTATTAATCTACAATAAGCATCTTGCAATGTCATAACTATCCCTTTGGTTTAACAGCTGCATTAATACTGTTGAGTGTAAGTAAATGCTACTCTTCTCTAACTAGAGACCTGATATCAACCTCTAGGCCTGAGAAGCCAAAGCCTCTAAGCTAAATGGTCTCAGACACACTCCTCGTGTTTTAGGGTTACTGTCAGTGTATTCCACCTGACATTTTCACTTTGTCTTCCCCTCCAAAGACTTTGATTCAGACTATCCTCATCCTCCTGACAGACAATGGTTTTCTAGGGATTTTCTAAAAATCTAAAACCATTCTAGTGGTTTTCTAAAAATCTGTCTTTAATACTGGACTGGTTGGTGCCTCTGACAGCTTAAAGTATTTATTTATTTTGTGAAATATTAATAATTTCTCCGCCTTCCATTCAGTCTCTTTAATCCATGGGTCTAGTATATTCTCCAGGTTCCCACAAACTACTTTCAAGACAATCCTATACAAGTACAAAGGAGTGAGAAAAGTTTAGATTTTCTTGTGTAACACCCTGGTATCATTAACAGACATTTCCCATAACCACCAGGCAATCATACTTTATCATCTAACATATTACAGCCACTTTATGATAGCATGAAACGAGTGATTGTGCAAGCACTGTTTTCTTAAGAGAACAGAACACAACCAGACAACTTTTAGTTCAAAACAGAAGCACAAAACAGTTTTCTAAGATGCATCCTCTGTTGCACTGTTGATGGGAGCTGTACTTACAAATACATCCTTCACCAAATCAAAGAGGATTCTATATAACCAAGACCTGCTGATTCAAAATGGGACCTCACACTTTCAGACTCTGAATTTAGATTTCCTACTGTGAATTCTACTTGCAGTTACATCAAGACTGCTACCTTTTATTAGTTATGATGTACACAACTTTTGACAAAAGAAGTCTTGAGAGGTTCCCCATACACACACAGTCACTGCTGTATTTACAGGCAAGATGATTAAACATTTGCATTTGATTGTAAGGGATAAATTGCACTATACAGTAAAAAGAAATTCAATATTAACTGATTAATAAAAAAGGCTTGATTTTTCAGTTGATAGAAAGTGGTTCTAGTTCCCTTTCCACCATCAAATCTAATTTAAACTAACCCAGTGTAGTGCAAATACATTAGATACTCAGTAATCTCTTGTAATGGCAGAGAAATTCATCACAAATTGCTGAATGTTATGAATCATCTTGTGAACACAACTGCTATACAGTGAAAAAGGCGCTTTAACAAGTAGCTTCATTCATTTTTGTCAATACTTCATAATTAGCACAGAGAAGTGTCTGTAAATTGAACTCTCGAGCATCACACTGCTTAGTTACCATTTTTTTTATTTAATATTTTGAACACTTGATGAAATGGAAGACCCCATTAAAATTTTGTACCAATGACAAACGACATTTTCATTTTCTGTTCTAAATGTGTTAGCACAAGATAATGTTCAACAAAGCCATAAGCATATGCTGATCTGTACTACATAAACAGTTCAGCTGACTTTATCAGAGATATTAATGTAAGTTTTTGAGGGATGCTTAACCCTGTTGCTCAATAACATATAACAATAAAAGAACTACTATTCTATGTGGAAAATGGTGCTGATGCCTACTCAGAAGTAATAGGTGACAAGAAAAACATGACAGCCAAGAAAACATGCTTAGAATAGGTTGCTGCTGCACAACAGCCTGAAGACCATCTACCTGCTTTTTTTTAATTGAAGAATTGAGAAAGCTTTTCAGGGTATCCTATTCGAGGTACACCTTATTTTGAAAGTATTCTGATGACAACCAAAAATCCCAATCAGAGACCAGGGTCTTATTATTCCCCAACAGAGATACAGCTTCTCTATAGAGAGCTTACAGTTTCAGGGCTTGAGTGCCCACAAAACTGCACCTGAACTATGGATTCCTGGTTTTTTAAGCACTGGGTAGAAATAATTAATCATTTTTATTTGGATTCCATAATCTCAAGATGCCAAGCTACTATAATTTAACAGTTTATCAGTGAGAGTTGGTTAGTTATGCCTATGGTAAGTACAGTCTTTGCCCCATTCTAACAGCAAAATCAATCACTCTCTCTGCAACTTAGTTTGCAACTGGGCATAACTAAAACTGTGCCCAAGGCCAGTTACTGCAGGGTAGCTGACACGAGGTGACTTGGTCATCTGCAGGCATTTGCAATATAACCACATCCTCTCAGGAGCAATTTAAGGGTTGAGACAAAAAGCCCTCTTAGACTAGAATAGGAACCGCCAAACGCAAGAGTATAAATATACTCATGATCACAGCATTAATTCCACTTTGACGCTTCTTACCACGGTAACTTCCCACTCATCAGTTCTAAAAAATCCTCAAGCTCCAGATATGAGTTTGCCTCACCCTCCACAGGTGCCCAGGAATCCTGGAATCCAGATCCAGGACTAATGTCTACAGGCTGCGCACACCAATGTAAACATACGAGAAAAGCTTTGCCTTACTCTAATGTTGCTAATTAATGACCAAATAATTATTAAGATAATCCACTATTTCCATTTGCTTTGAAATATGAGAACTAAACAAGAGCTCCTATTACATACTGCTTATTTTTATTTCTTAATTGAAAACACTGTTGTCACTTTTTTTTTTAATTTTACAAGATTTAACCCTTGAAAAGACATACAAATCATCACTGGACAGTTATTTGAAAGAACATCTTAGTTTTGTAGTTCTCCTCATGCTTTCAATTCTTCAGTCCTCATAAAAAAACCCAGTACTGGTAAGACATCCAAAACATCTAGACATACAAACCTTTCTATTGCATCTAAAGTTTCTCCTTTTCAAGGATATTTAGGCCTATAAGTGCTTTTAGGTTTATCAATACAATACAAAGACTATTTATTTAAAGGGGGGGGAACCCTCATGCAATTTAGTGCTCCAATTCCATATAGTTACAACACAACAAAGTAGGAAAATCCCACCTCTCCTCACATACTGCCTTCAAAGTATTTTTGCTCCTTTTAGTAATCAAATATAGATTTTTTCCATGACATTCTGATTAGGCTCTTACTGTGAATACATTAAGTGATAATTGGTCCAAAAATACCTACTGAGCCAGGAATATCAGGATACAGTAAATACTGGGAGCACCATAGGCAGTTGTATGAATCACTTCACATACCTGTGGTTTTCCAGGTTTCTGTGCTTAGTCATGAGTACACTCTTCATATTCTTGCACACAGAATACAATTTCTGCCAATTTTTGTTCTTGGCTTCTACACTGCCACCTGTAGTCATACAAGAGAAATTAGCCATATTTTATGCTGCAAATCCCCTTAGCACAATGTTTCAGCTCACTTGTTTTTCTATACAAACGTTCTAAAGCACCCCCTTTGTAAAAGGTGCATTAAGATACTCAAACTGAGTTATTTATATCTTTCTCTCTAATGAGTTTGAGGAAGAAAGAAATAAAAAAACAAACAAACAAACAATCCCAACTCAATTTAAACCAAGAAGGCATTTAAAACTCTCAAAGACAGCCCTGGGCTTAACAGATTTTTATGTTATCGTTGCTGCTTAGTGGACAGATCATAACCTTGACAGAGCAAGGTGACTTCTGAAGGGGCAATGCAAAAACGTGTGCACTTAATTACTTGGTAAATACAAAAAACCTGATTTGGTCTTCCATATGAAATACGATCATAGTTTTACAGAAAAAATTTCCATGCTCAGCTTAGTTACCTTATACAGGTTATATAGAAATGCATACAATTAAAAAATTGCTTGTATTTGGAAGATATATCCAAGTAGAAGTAATGAACTTTTTTATACAATGAAAACCACTCGATTTATTCCAGGCTTACTGCACTTTGAGCACTATACCGCAGATTCTGACATATTAACCATTTACATCAAAATAACACCTAAGCACGCAGTACCCAGAGCCCTCACGTTAATCCTTTTCTGAAAACACGAGAAAATAGAAAATTCAAGCCTTCCTGGAAAAACCAAAGCTTCCTGGTGTTCAGAAAAGGGGTTTCACCGAACAGCGAAGTTTCGGAGTACAAGCTCTGGGGGAAAAACCGGCTTTTGCACGCACACGCCTTCTCCTTTCTCCTAGTTAAGAATTGCTCGTGCCACCCCGGGAAAAGGCGCCCGAATGCTCCCACTGTGCGTGTCCCTGGAAAAACGCTCCCAAGTCACCAGCGGGCAGAAACAAACTC